CCGTACAAGAACTAGCCAACTCTGTGTAAGCTCTATACATCGCGTATAAAAATATTCATTAACTCAAGAACGAATTACGATTAGGAATGTATCTGGCCCGGTCATTCTGGTTAATATTATCGTAGTTCTATCAGCTACTTCCAGTTGATACGTGAGTACACGCATAAAATATATAGAAAAATCTTCTACTCTAATTTCATCAGAGGGCTGTGATGTAAGGTGTAGTAACTGGTTACAGTAACAAGGTATAAAGGGGAATCAGTAATGGTATAAAAAAATAACGAGGGTGTCATTTACCACGAGAATATAGGCTACTTCTTCACATTATACAGGGCTATTCAAAAAGATTGTCGGGGTTTTGTGAATTTTTCTGGGGCAATGCATTAAATATACGATTATTATCATTACACTGGTGGATAGAGAAACTCTCAAAGTTTTGTTCTGTACCTCCCGCCATCCAGTAGTTACGTGTTTGGCCGCCAGGTGTCAGATTTTGCAATATGGCGGCTAACGGTAAGGAGATGGCTTTTTGTACTCTCGAATATCATCAAAGTCGGTCCGTTACCATTGTCCAACGACACTTCCACACGAAATTTGGGAATAATCACGTATTTGTCCTCCCTCTATCTGCGACTATCCTGGATCTGAAGGTACGTATCAGAGCCGCCATTCTAAACATCACCGCTGACACGCTGGGGCGTGTGTGGGAAGAAATGGACTATCGTGTAGATGTCTGCAGATTGACAGAAGGCGCACATATTGAGAATTTATAAGTCATGTAAAAAACTTTGAGAGTTTTGCTATACAATAAAACAAGATTCGTATTCCTACCTCAATTGTACTACGTGTAGTGATTTTTTAAAACCCCGACAATCTTTTTGAATAGCCCTGTATTTATAAAGTCTCCTTGGACAACTATTGTAAAACGTGACTTCAATCAAATAATGGGAAGTTCAGGCCTTCAGGAAGATCCTTCCTTGAGGGATGCGAATAAAACGCGGAACAGAGAAAAATACAGTGATAAAGAATCTAATATAAAAATAAACTACATTAATCAACGAAACATGGCAGAGGAATATTGGATCAAATTAAAACGAACTAGAAAGACGAAGGAGAAATTGTTTTAAAAAGGTGTCTACAGAACTTCAGAAATATAAATACATATAAGGAGGTGAAATTAATAGAAAAAAAATTGGAACATAGAAGTAATAAAGACAAGGACAAAATAACAAATTAAGTAATAAATTACAGAAAAAACTGAAAGGGGAATATCGGTATGTGCGTTTATCAATGGAAGCGAGTAGGCCTACACAATTTAATAAACTGATTTTTTTAAAAATGTAAACGGAAAGAAAGAGAACAAAGGGAGAGAAGAAATACGTCAGAGGCAATCAGAAAGCACAAAACAAAGAAAATAACTGAGTAAGAACTAAGATTTATACATAAAGAGAGATGGAAAAAACAGGGTAACGAAACAAACACAAATAAATGTGAAGAAACTGTGAAGAGACGCGTAGCAAATATTCATTTTCCGGGTGGACAACAGACAGCTTCACGGGCAGAGTA